GCAAAAGACAGATCATCTAAGCAGAAAATCAACAAAGAAACAAGAGCTTTGAATGACACACTGCACCAGATGGACCTCATAGATCTATACAGAACATTCCACCCTAAAACAACAGAATACTCATTCTTCTTGAGCGCACACGGAACTTTCTCCAGAATAGACCACATACTGGGTCACAAATCAGGTCCCAACCAACACCAAAAGAATGAGATTATTCCCTGCATATTCTCAGACCATAATGATTTAAAACTGGAACTCAATCACAAGAAAAAATTTGGAAGAAATTCAAACACTTGGAAGCTAAAGACCACTCTGCTCAAGAATGTTTGGGTCAACCAGGAAATCAAAGAAGAACTTAAACAGTTCACAGAAACCAATGAGAACGAAAACACATCAGTCCAAAATCTATGGGATACTGCAAAGGCGGTCCTAAGAGGGAAATACATAGCCATCCAAGCCTCACTCAAAAAAAAGCAGAAAAATCCCGAATTCACCAACTAACTTTACACCTTAAAGAAATGGAGAAAAAGCAACAAACAATACCTAAGCCAAACATTAGAAGAGAAATAATTAAGATTAGAGCAGACATCAGTGAATTAGAAACCAGAAACACAGATCAGATCAATGAAACTAGAAGCTGGTTCTTTGAAAGAATAAGGTCGATAAACCACTGGCCAGACTTATCCAAAAGAAAAGAGAAAGGATCCAAATTCATAAAACTATGAATGAAAGAGGAGAGATCACGACTAACACCAAGGAAATAGAAACAATTATTAGAAATATTATCAACAACTATATGCCAATAAATTGAGCAATCTGGAGGAAGTGGATGCCTTCCTGGAAACCTATAAACTACCAAGACTGAAACAGGAAGAAATTGACAACTTGAATAGGCCAATAACCAGTAACGAGACTGAAGCAGTGATCAAAGAAGATTTCAAAGAAGAAATAATACCTATTCTCCTGAAGCTGTTTCAAAAAATAGAAACAGAAGGAAACCTTCCAGACTCATTCTATGGGGTGAGCATAACCTTAATCCCCAAACCAGGCAAAAACCCCAACAGAAAGGAGAATTTCAGACCGATATCCCTGATGAATATGGATTCCAAAATTCTCAACAAAATCCTAGCTAATAGGATCCAACAATACATTAAAAGGATCATCCACCACGACAAAGTGGGATTTATCCCTGGGATGCAAGGGTGGTGGTTCAACATTCACAAAGCAATCAATGTGATAGAACACATTAATAAGAGGAGAGAGAAGAACCATATGGTCCTCTCAATTGATGCAGAAAAAGCATTTGACAAAATACAGCATCCTTTCCCAATTAAAACTCTTCATTTGTTTTTTTAAAGATTTTTATTTATTTATTTGACAAAGAGAGACACAGTGAGAGAGGGAACACAAGCAGGGGGAGAGGGAGAGGGAGAAGCAGGCTTCCCGCTGAGCAGGGAGCCCGATGCAGGGCTCGATCCCAGGACCCTGGGATCATGACCTGAGCCGAAGGCAGATGCTTAACGACTGAGCCACCCAGGTGCCCCAAAACTCTTCAGAGTATAGGGATAGAGGGAACATTCCTCAAGTTCATAAAATCCATCTATGAAAAACTCACAGCAAATATCATCTTCAATGAGGAAAAGATGAGAGCTTTTCCCTTAAGATCAGGAACAAGACAAGGATGCCCACTCTCGCCACTATTGTTCAACATAGTACTAGAAGTCCTAGCCACAGCAATCAGACAACAAAAAGAAATAAAAGGTATTCAAATTGTCAAAGAAGAAGTCAAACTCTCTCTCTTTGCAGATGACAGGATACTTTATGTGGAAAATCCAAAGGACTCCACCCCCAAATTACTAGAACTCATCCAGCAATTCAGTAATGTGGCAGGATACAAAATCAATGCACAGAAATCAGTTGCTTTCTTATACACTAACAATGCAACTGTAGAAAGAGAAATTAGAGAATCGATTCTTTTCACAATAGCACCAAAAACCATAAGATACCTCGGAATAAATCTAACCAAAGAGGTAAAGGATGTATACTCTAGGAAGTATAGAACACTCCTGAAAGAAATTGAAGAAGACATAAAAAGATGGAAAAACAGGGGCTCCTGGGTGGCTCAGTTGGTTAAGCGACTGCCTTCGGCTCAGGTCATGATCCTGGAGTCCCGGGATCGAGTCCTGCATCGGACTCCCTCCTCGACAGGGAGTCTGCTTCTCCCTCTGACCCTCCTCCCTCTCATGCTCTCTATATCTCATTCTCTCTGTCTCAAATATATAAATAAAATCTTTAAAAAAAAAAAAAGATGGAAAAACATTCCATGCTCATGGATCAGAAGAATAAACATTGTTAAAATGTCTATGCTACCCAGAGTAATCTATACCTTCAACGCCACCCCAATCAAAATTCCAATGACATCTTTCAAAGTGCTGGAACAAAGAATCCTAAAATTTGTATGGAGTCAGAAAAGACCCTGAATTGTCAAGGAAATGTTGAAAAAGAAAAATAAAGCTGGGGGCATCATATTGCCTGATTTCAAGCTATATTATAAAGCTGTGATCACCAAGACAGCATGTTCCTGGCACAAAAACAGACATACAGACCAATGGAACAGAACAGAGAGCGCAGACATGGACTCTCAACTCTACGGTCAAATAATCTTCGACAATGCAGGGAAAAATATGCAATGGAAAAAAGACAGTCTCTTCAATAAATGGTGCTGGGAAAATTGGACAGCTATATACAGAAGAATGAAACTTGACCATTCTCTAACACCATACACAAAGATAAACTCAAAATGGATGAAAGACCTCAATGTGAGACAGGAATCCATCAAAATCCTAGAGGAGAACATAGGCAGTAACCTCTTCGACATTGGCCACAGCAACTTCTTTCAAGATACATCTCCAAAGGCAAGTCAAACAAAAGCAAAAATGAACCTTTGGGACTTCATCAATATAAAAAGCTTCTGCACAGAAAGGAAACAGTCAACAAAACAAAAAGGCAACCCACAGAATGGGAGAAGATATCTGCAAATGACACTACAGATAAAGGGCTAAAGTCCAAGATCTATAAAGAACTTCTCAAACTCAACACCCTAAAAACAAATAATCAAGTCAAAAATGGGCAGAAGACATGAACAGACACTTCTCTGAAGAAGACCTACAAATGGCTAACAGACACATGAAAAAATGTTCATCATCATTCACCATCAGGGAAATTCAAATCAAAACCACATTGAGATACCATCTTATACCAGTTAGAATGGCAAAAAATGACAAGGCAGGAAACAACAAATGTTGGAGAGGTTGTGGGGAAAGGGGAACCCTCTTACACTGTTGGTGGGAATGCAAGTTGATACAGCCACATTGGAAAACAGTGTGGAGGTGCCTCAAAAAGTTAAAAATAGAGCTACCCTATGACCCAGCAATTGCACTCCTGGGTATTTACCCTAAAGATATAGATGTAGTGAAAAGAAGGGCCACAGGCACCCCAATGTTCATAGCATCAATGTCCACAATAGCCAAACTGTGGAAAGAGCCAAGATGCCCTTCAACAGATGAATGGATAAAGAAGATGTGGTCCATATATACAGTGGAATATTACTCAGCCATCAGAAAGGATGAATACCCAACTTTTACATCAACATGGATGGGACTGGAGATTATGCTAAGTGAAACAAGTCAAGCAGAGAAAGTCAATTATCATGTGGTTTCACTTATTTGTGGAATATAAGGAATAGCATGGAGGACATTAGGAGAAGGAAGGGAAAAATGAAGGGGGCGGAATCGGAGGGGAAGACAAACTGTGAGAGAATATGGACTCCGAGAAACCAACTGAGGGTTTTAGAGGGGAGGAGGGTTGGGGGATGGGTTAGACCGGTGATGGGTATTAAGGATGGCATGTATCTCATGGAGCACTGGGTGCTATATGCAAATAATGAATCATGGAACACTACATCAAAAACTAATGATGTACTGTATGGCGACTAACATAACATAATAAAATTAAATTATATTAAAAAAGTAAAATAAAATAAAATGCCAAATCTATGCCTGTTACTCCAAATGTGTTTCAAAGTGAAAGGCCTGATGTAGAAACCAGGAAGAATCAGTACTGAAAGAGTCAAGAGACTATAGGAACCAAAGGCAGGCCTCCTCAAAATGGGCCACTTTGGCATGAAGATTATTTTGAGTTAAAAAGCAATCAAAACCCAGCAGATTCAGGAAAATCTCTTACCTCTCACCTCAACAGCATAAAAAGGATTTAGACAGAAGACGTGCTCCAGGAAGAGAGCTATCACCACAAACTACATTACAGTATGAAATGGGTGTGATAGGCAGGGAGGAACCTAGAAAGGCCTATTTGATCAAAGTTCTCTGTATCCCCTTATTTCCCAAGAGGCCTAGCAAACATTTGCTTACCAAATATTTACTCTTTTTCCCCTTTATATAAATTGTATTCCTTCCCTTTGAAGTCTCAGACCCCTCTCCCCTTCTCTTTAATTCAGAATGACATATAGACCTCATTTTGTCTGTCTTTGGAATTTCCATGTCTATGTGCATTCCCCAGACATACACTATTAAATTTGATTTTCTTCTGTTAATCTGTCTCATGTCAATTTGATTCTTAGTCCAGCTAGAAAAACCTTGAGGGGACAGGATATTCCTGATCCCTGACAAGAGCATAATCCTGCTTTTACCATATGTGTGAGGGCAAGCATATAGGCTAAGGTTAAGTTTGCTCTTGATAACTCTTGAAACATGCATGTAGAATTCTAATCAGTAAAGCCACTGTAAGATACCATAGAGCTAAAAGATGTTTTCCATAAGCACTTAAGGTCCATATTACTGGATTTAAAATAAAACTGGTATAATTTGAATAATTTATTCTAATGTGCTCATTTAATATGGATTTTTTTAGGGATCGCAATTTAAGCATACAACAAAAGCTCTGTTTGCAAAAAGAGAGTCTATGAACATTTAATGGGTTCTTACCAGAGCAAGGCATTTCATTTCAATAATGTTTACTGGTGGTCCCGGAGAGCTATGGATCTCAAGATAATACCAGACTTGGAAATTGCTAACACTATCATCTGAAAAACAGAAAACAAAAAACAAACATCTCTTAATGTAGGCTTCAGAATATCATACTTAACATAAAATTTGAGAAACATCAATAGATACCATTTTCAAACTCTTTTTGATGAACTCATTTGTCAAGAGACGGAAGTGGAAGGTGAAAAGCTGATTGCATTACAATTTGTGAGTGCAAAGAGAAGTGCCATCCTGCATAGCCATGAGCTTGCCCTATAAAAGCTCCCTGTCCTCCAACTGCCCCAGGAACTCATTATATTCCCTACTAAAATAAGAATGTTTTACTTCTAAGAATTAATATTTCAAAAGAAATAACCAATCATTTTCCCAATTGCCAAAACATTCACATATTATATATAGAACTATCTAAATATTATAATTCACAGTGGTACATTTCTAGTACCAAAAGATTCTAGTCTAAGGACACAATCAGGAATAGTTGATGAGATTTTTCTTTTCTTGAAAGTGTAAAAAAGGATTCTAGCAATTTAGCCTAAAGGAAGCTGGATTGGGAATGAACTACATGGTGAGAAAGTAATGTTTACATCTGGGTTCCTGATATTTTTTTTTAAAGTAGGCACTTCTGTTGCTGGTGATGTCTAAAGTCATCCTCCCAAATCCTGCCACTGGAACCTTGGTCCACCACAACAGTCCTGTGTAGCAGGGTATGTGCTGGCACCAAACTCAAGTTTTCCATTTGTTTAGCCTGAACTGTTCAGCTTCTACTTTGATGTTCTTTATTCTCCAGTGTTGAGCTAGTATATGGTTTAAGATGTCGTCCAATTTCAGTTATTCATATGCATATTCAAATCAGTATGTCATGTTTTAAAGATTCCATGTACTGCTATGTTTGCCTAACTTACTTAGGTAAATTATTAACCTCTTTGGGTCTCAGTTTCCTCATCTGAAATAAGGGTCCCAGACTAGTGGAATTCTCTCTCTCTTCTGAAAGAGAGTGTTGTATATTGCAGTACATTGTGTTGTATGGAATTGTATTGCATGGTGGAGTAGAATTTGCCACCGAATAGCACATACCCTCCCCAGTGTCTATCACCCAGCCACTCCATCCCTCCCACCCCCCACCACTCCAGCAACCCTCAGTTTGTTTCCTGAGATTAAGAATTCCTCATATCAGTGAGGTCATATGATACATGTCTTTCTCTGATTGACTTATTTCGCTCAGCATAACACCCTCCAGTTCCATCCACATCATTGCAAATGCCAAGATCTCATTCCTTTTGATGGCTGCATAATATTCCATTGTGTATGTGTGTGTATGTGTGTGTGTGTGTATATATATATATATATATACACACCACATCTTCTTTATCCATTCATCTGTCGATGGACATCTTGGCTCTTTCCACAGTTTGGCTATTGTGGACATTGCTGCTATAAACATCAGGGTGCACGTACCCCTTCGGATCCCTACATTTGTATCTTTGGGGTAAATACCCAGTAGTGCAATTGCTGGATCGTATGGTAGCTCTATTTTCAACTTTTTGAGGAACCTCCATACTGTTTTCCAGAGTGGCTGCACCAGCTTGCATATGGTGATTAACATAATAATAATAAAAAAAATAACAAATAAATAAGAATTTGCTACCCCAAAATTTGTCTTTGGTATAAGGATTATTTTGAGCTGATTATTTTTAAGAAACTGCAGATACAGAAGCTCTGAGAACAGAGTAGAAGTTACCCTTTTGTAAGACACATTTACATTTCTAAAGGAAATCTGCATTTGTAAGGGTGTCTCCCTCTCTGTACTAGGAAGTTGGGAGACTAAATCTTTAGAAACCTGCAAAACAACCTTACACTTGTTTACTGTGCTTTCCTGGTAACTGCATTATTGGCTCTCCATCCCCCAACATCTTTTTTTGTCTTTAGCTGGAGATGGTATTTTAAGATAAGGGTTTGGGCCATTTCAAGGAGTTATTCATTTTTCCTGGTTCTATCCCATATATAGAAGAGGTATACTTTTTTTTTTTTTTTTTTTTTGAGAGAGAGAGAGGAGCGGCTAAGGGCAGAGGGAGAGGGAGAATGAGAATCCCAAGCAGGCTCCACACCCACTGGAGTCCCACACAGTGCTCAATCTCAGGACCCTGAAATCATGACCTGAGCCAAAATCAAGACTCGGTTGCTTAACTGAATGAGCCACCAAAGCACCAAGCCAGTAACACAATGTACTGAACTTTTGTTTTCTTTTTCCTGCTAATCTTTTTTATTATTATTATTACAGGGGGCTCTCGGCCAAGAATTTAGAAAGGTAGAGGGAAAATTATCCCCCCCCTACCAGGAGCATTTTATCTTATTGCACTGAAATGCACTACTTCGTACCATATTATATTATATTGTATTGTATGCCCCTCTATTCTAATACTTTAGCTATTAAGAAGTACTTATCAAATTAGTGGATCTTAGAACAATCCAGACATTCAGAACAATTAGCTAGTGAGAGGGAGACAGAGAAGGTCCATGTGAATTCTTATTCCAAATACTTGTGAGAAGTTCTTGAGGGTGATCTTAACTCCACATTTTCAATTGCCTTCTGTGTTTATTTATTTTACAGACACCAACTAATTACCTTGAAACCATTAATGCACAGAGAATAAGTTACCAACTTTATACTGATGTTAGGTTACTGCGAAAACCTCTGCTCATGATTGTATTGGCTGCTCCTTCAATTCTATGACAGTGCTTTAAATGCTTTTATGATGTTTAAATGTGACATCTCAAAATAAACCAGTTCTTAAAATGAAAAATGCTTCCCCTTCTAGGTTGCTCATGTATATTTCACTGGCTTTTCCAATGCTTTAATCCACACTGAACTCACAGGGAAAATAATTCTGGAGAGAAAGGGCTTCACGACTATAAAGCCTGAATGCCCCACAACTCTGGGCTGGCACAAAGAACAATAAAACAGTCTGCTCATCTATGGAATGGGGACTGTCTTAGTCAAGGTTCTCCAGAGAAAGAGAAGCAATAGAATATGTGTGTGCATATAAAGAGACAGACAGAGAAACAGAAGCAGCGAGAGATTGATTTTAAGGAAATGGCTCATGCAATTGACTTGGTAAGTCCAAAATCTGCAGGTTAGGTCAGCAGGCTGTAGATTCAAGAAAGAATTGCAGTGCAAATCCAAAAGTGGTCTATGGGTAGAATTCTTTTTTGTTCTGGGGAGGTCAGTCTTGGTTCTGTTAAGACCTTCAATTGATTGGATGAGACCTACCCACACAAGGGAGGGCCATCTTCTTTATTCAAAGTTCACAGATTTAAATATAATTCTCATCCAAAATCACCTTCGCAGAAACATCCAGAATAATGTTTCACCTATTATCTGGGCACCATAACCTAGCTAGGTTGACACTTAAAATTATCTATCACAGAAACAGTAACACTTAATGTTTGTGATTGCTGTGACTATCACATAAGGCATTGTTATGATGTAGCTGATTTAATTCCTACAGTGCTAAAAATATACACTGATTATGAGTTTATTGGTTAGAATAAGATTAAAGATGATTTATTAGTGAGAACAAAAATAATAATTATTAAACACTGTTTAGCTACAGGCCTTAAACACATTAAAACTTTTTGCTAATTTTAAAATCAATAACATTCACTATAGTGACTTTAGAAATTCCTGAAAAGCCTAAAGATGACAATTATTCATTATCTCATGACTAAGGATAAATACTTATTTTTCTTGTATAAAACTCCAGGCTTGATATGTCAATAAAGACATAGATGTAGAGATACACACACATATATATAAATACACTGGGGTATACAAATTATATAAAATTGATGTATCTATATGTGTGTGTGTGTAAACATATTTTTATCCTTCAGACAACATCTGCTATTAGAACTTGAGTTTTATCCCTAATCATTAGGAAAATGCAAATCAAAAACCGCAATGAGCTATCACCTCACACCCATTAGGATGGCTACTATCAAAAGAACAGAAACCAGCAAGTGTTGGTGGGATATGTAGAAAAGGTAACCCTTGTGCTTTGTTGGTGGCAAATACAAATTGGTGCAGTCCCTGAAACTGCCAACAGAATTAAGTCTGCAGAAAGGCATGTAGCCCATAGTTAAAGACTATTGGGAAAAATACCAGGAATAAGTTAGAATATGCTTTGCTTAAGATATTGAAAATGTAGGGGTACCTGGCCGGCTCAGTTGGAGGAGCATGAGACTATCGATCTTGGGGTTGTGAGTTCAAGGCCCTGACAGGTGTAGGGAAAACTTAGATAAATAAATAAAGTTAAAAAAAAATAATAATGAAAATGTAGCCCAAGGGAACAGGAAATGAAACAGCCTGTGCAGACATCGTAGTCTTAAGGTATATAGCCTCTGCTTTTGCTAATAAAGACAGCATCACTGACAAACATTGCTGCAATATTTTGTAAACCTGGACCAGTGAAGGAAATGACCACTCAACCATAGTCTTGAAGAGACAGGTGACCTGGCACCAGTTAATTAGTCTTGAAGTTTACCCAATCCCTGACCAGTCAAAAGAACCCGATTCCAAACCCTTTACCCTTGATTTTTGCCCTTAAAAACCCTCACTTGCAAGCCATCAGAGAATTCACGATTTTGAACACTAGTTCCCTGTTCTCCGGGGTAGTGCCACACAAATAAATAGCCTATCTTTTTTCAGTGCAAATGCTCAGTTTTTTTTTTTTTTTATTGGCGTGTTGGACATTGGAGAGATGAACTCTTGTTAGGTACAGTTATACCACTATGGAAAACAGTATGGACAATCCTCAAAAATTTTAAAATAAAACTTTCATACCCACATTTGGGTATTTATCTGAAGAAAACCAAAACATTTACTTGGAAAAGATGTATGCACCCCATGTTATTACAGCATTATTTATAATAGCTAAGATATGGAAACAACCTAAGTGTCCATCGAGGATGAATGGATAAAGAATTTGTGACATATATGTATAGAATGGAATATTATTCAGCCATTAAAAAAAAAAACAAAACAAGGAAATCCTACCATTTACAATATGGACAGACCTTGAAGGCATTATGCTAAAGTGAAATAAATCAGAAAGAGAAAGAAAAACATTATATGACCTCACTTAAGTGTGGTATCTTTAAAAAAAAAAAAAAAACCTCAGAAAAAGAGATTAGACTTGTGGTTATCACAGGTCGAGCATGGGAAGGAGGTGGAAGGGGAGAAAAGTCGTGAAAAGATACAAACTTTCAGTTATAAGAGAAATAAGAACTACAATGTAATTACAACATGATGAGTATAGCCAACACTGCTGTATGATATAGAGGACAGTTGTTAAGAGTGTAAATCCTAAGAGTTCTTATCACAGGACATTTTATTTCCTTTTTTCCCCGTTCTTTTCACTGCATCAATATGAGAAGATAGATATCAGCAGGACCGATTGTGGTAATCTTTTCACAATATATGTAAAGAAACCATCATGCTGCATACCTTAAACTTACAGAGTGCTGTATGTCAACTATTTTTCAAAAAAGTGGGAAAAAATTTATGTGCACGTAATACATATTCAAAATTATTTTAAATAAAATTGTAAAACTAAAATATTTAAGTTTCAATTATTCAAAATAATAGATCACATAATGAACATTCTTACAGAAAAATGTGTGCATATCTCTGATTATTTTATTCAAACTAATTTCTTAGAATGAAATCATTGGATCAATAGGGATAAAAAAATCTTAAAAGTTTTAGGGGTGCTAGGCTGGCTCAGTTGGTAGAGCACGTGACTCGTAATCTCGGAGGTGTAAATTCGAGCCCCACATTGGGCATACAGATTACTTAAAAATAAAATCTAAAAAAAAAAAGTTTTAAGCATATTGTAAATGCTCTCAAATTCCCATTACAATGCATAAAATTGTCTCTTTCAACTTGCCCTTCATCAAAACTGGGTGTTACTAATATTTTTCAAATTTTCCAATTTGGAAAAAGTTAAAAAAATCCTATTGTTTTCATTTCTTTTTTGGTCCCAGCTTTGTTGAGGTATAACTATTAAAAATTATATATATTTAAGGTACAACTTGATTTGATATAGTATGCATTATAAAATAATCACTACAATTAAGCTAATTAACACATCCATCATCTCACATAATTACTGATTTTTGGTGGGGGTGGTGAAGACATTTAAGATCTACCTTCCAAGCAAATCTCAAGTATACCCTACTGTATTATTAAATATAATCATGTTGTACATTAATTAGTTCTCCAAAACTTACTCATTTTACCTAACTGAAACTTCCCTAATTGAAAAGAGATACACTGCTGAGCAATCAGTAAGAAAAAGTTCCATGTTATTATAGGAGATGGAAAGGTTAATCCTGTCTGATATAAGAAGACAACTTTGAAGAACTGGGGATACTTGTAATATTATTAGATGCATTTTTTCCTAGCTCTTAATCTATCTTGCAACATGTCATCACATCATGCAGATTTTCTTATTAGATATCCCCACTCTTTTTTATTCCATTAACATGATACCATAATATTCTGATTTTCTTTCAAACACTTTTACCTGGCTTTCCTTCATGGTTCTGCCTTAGTTTTCAATGGGAGTTTCACTCCTAGCATAATCCATCTACAGCAGTCATCTGCTCTTTGAACTTACCTGCACGATTTCAATTAAAGAAACCCTAAAACTTTACAACCTGTTTTTTGTTTTTTTTTCTGGTCTCAGCTCCAAATATTCAATTGATGACTGGATATTGCTACATAAATGTCTTGCTGTCACATCAAAATCAGCAAGCACAAAACTGTGCCAAACATTATAATCTCCCAGACTTTTTATTTCTTCTTGTTGATAGTTCAACAACTAAATTACTCCATAATATTGCTGTCTCCGCATCCATTTTGTGTGGCCAAGTGGGCTGCATGGGCCTTGAACTGACAGTAGCCCTCTGGAGAGTACACACACTAGATAACAGCCGACACAGTCACAAGTAAATGTGAATTTCTGATATGACTCCCTAACCATTCTTGTGATAAGCACTCTCCTCTGTCTCCCAGGGCCTTCCCATTGTGCGGCCCTTAGATGAGACCCCCGTGATGCTTACCAAAATCCTACTCTTTTTGGTTTGAATTAACCAATCTGGCCTCAGCCCAGGAACCACAAAGCATTCTGAGAACCCTAATTAAGGCATGTGCGCAGGTCCTTCTTCTCTCTTTGCACCCTGCCTTGACCTCCCCATGTGGCCCCTTGAGGAGTGCAGTATGAGTCCTCCAGGACCTGTGAGTAATAAACTCTTTCACTTTCCCTTGTGGCCTTTTGTTGAACCTTGACACACCATCTGACACCCCAGGGGTCTACTTAACAAATGTTATTTTAACAAAGCCCCAACACTTCTAAATTAATATCTTAATATTTTTCTATTCACCAAGATACAAACAAACCTTGTTCAATTTTAGAATCAATCCTCTTTCATCTCCTCTCTTAAGAAAATCATCTAGGGTCATCGGGGTGGCTCAGTCGGTTAAGCGCCTGCCTTTGGCTCAGGTCATGATCTCAGGGTCCTGGGATCGAGCCCTGCATAGGGCTCCCTGCTCAGCGGGGAGTCTATTTCTCACTCTCCCTCTGCCCCTTCCTTCCCCACTTGTGCTCTTTCTCTCAAATAAACAAAATCTTTAAAAAAAAAGGGGGGGGGCGCCTGGGTGGCTCAGTCGGTTAAGTGTCTGCCTTCGGCTTAGGTCATGATCCTAGGGTCCTGGGATCGAGCCCCACATCAGGCTCCCTGCTCCGCAGGAAGCCTGCTTCTCCCTCTCCCACTCCCCCTGCTTGTGTTCCCTCTCTCGCTGTGTCTCTCTCTGTCAAACAAATAAATAAAATCTTAAAAAAAGAGAGCGAGTCATCTAATGCTAATCTCTGAAATGTTTTCTATCTTTAATGGTACGTCTCTATCCCCATCGCCACCATAAAATACATTGTTCTCTTCACTTCAAAGCCAGTTCGCTGTGCCAGTGGCCTGCCTAGCTGGCCCCAACTGCTCTTCCCTTTCCAAACCATTTTGAATAGTGCCTAAATAATCACTCTTAATCCATGTATTCTGTGATGGTTAATTTTTTTTTTTTAAAGATTTTATTTATTTATTTGACAGAGAGAGACACAGCGAGAGAGGGAACACAAGCAGGGGGAGTGGGAGAGGGAGAAGCAGGCTCCCCGCAGAGCAGGGAGCCCGATGTGGGGCTCGATCCCAGGACCCTGGGATCATGACCTGAGCTGAAGGCAGACGCTTAATGACAGCCACCCAGGCACCCCTGTGATGGTTAATTTTATGTGTCAACTTGGCTGGACTATGTCTAGTTGTTTGCTTAAACACCAGTCTCAGACCTTGCTGTGAAGGTGTTTTTTTGTTTGTTTGTTTTTTCCAGTGGAGTTTGAGTAAAGCAGATTGCCCTGCATAATGTGGGCATACCTCCTCCAATCAGTTGGAGGCCCTAAGAGCAAATACTGACGTTACCTGAAGAAGAAGCAATTCTTACTCAAGACTGATAGAGAACCCTGCCTGAGCTTGAAGCCTGCCTGGCCTGCTTCTGGAATTTGGACCCAAGATTGCAACAGCAACTCTTACCAAATTCTCTGCCCTGCTTGCTTGGCATACAGATTTTGGACTTGCCAGTCCCCACAATCATGTCAGCCATTTTTTAAAAATTTCAAGATCTTGGGGAGCCTGGGTGGCTCAGTTGGTTAAGCTCCTGCCTTTCGCTCAGGTCATGATACCAGGATCCTGGGATCAGGCCCATGTGGGGCTCTCTGCTCAACAGGGAGCCTGCTTCTCCCTCTCCCTCTGCCTGCCCTTCACCTGCTTATGCTCTTACACACTCTATCAAATAAACAAAATCTTTTAAAAAATTTTTCAACATCTCTCTTTCTCTGTTTCTCTCTCTATATATATCTATTTACATTACATTATATTATGGTAGTGTCTGTTTTACTGAAGAATCCTGACTAAACACAAAGTCATTCAATAAAGATTTCTTCTTTGATATACCTCATTGTCTCCACAGCTTTGCTTCTGTTGACCCACTCTTCTCTAATGCCCTCTGATGTCCCTGCCACTCACCCATAAGAGAACTCAGTTACCCATTTTCCAGGAAATCTACCCTGTGCCTTCCAAGTCTCCATTATCTCAATTTCCTTTGAATTTCTACTAAAAAGATATGTTTAACAACATTCAAATAAAGCTTTATAATACAGGAAGGAAAAAAATAGCACTGACTTTCTTCTGCATATGAGGAAGACTGCTATCATCTCCTACGCTGAAGAAAAGCATATTACCTTGTTAAAATTACATACTCATTAACATTTTATCAGAAATTTACTGTAATTTTTTGTTTAATAACAAGTATATATAAAGTTTTTCACTTATGAAAGAGACAGCCTTCAAGCTGAAGTAATCTATTAATGTTAAAAGCTGTACAAATCCAGAAAGTAAACTACATAAAGTTAATCCTGAAATAATACAATAAAATTCTTACAGATATATGCAACACACATTTGCATATACCTTATGAATGTAAAATATTTGTTCATTTAAAAGTGAATGATTGAAAAGTGATCATGAAACTTTCCTTAATCATAAATTTACCTGAGTCTTCTTCATCAAACTTTTGGAATAGTTCTGATAATGATTTTTCAAAGGAGGGTGCTCGACATTGATCTTGATCTGAGTCTTCCTGAGAGTCATCATCTCGTCTGCGTTTAACAGAAAATGAAATTGTACCTAAAACACATAAGTAAAAGATGCCAGATTAACCAGGGATTGGTTTTCTAAAATGAAAGGTCAGTTTTAGGTACTAAAGATGCTTTAGCTTGAAACTAATAAACAAAGACAAACATAAATTCTAGGCCTCACCATCACATTTAAACCTGATGGTGGTACAGAACAATTTAATAGAGAGTTCATTAATATTTAAGTATAAGAGATAATTGAGTTTTCATTAAAACCAGCAGTGTGATACCTGGGTTCACAACTGGGGATGTCCGTCACCAGCTATGTGCCTTGGTTTGCCCAAATATGAAATGGAGGTGACATTGGTAGCAGCTGGTGACACTGGATATTACAAAGTGTCTGTGGTATTACACTGGCTCCCTCTGGGTCTCTGGCAATGCTCCCAACACTTCACCAACCTCTGAGTAGACAGGACTGGCCCCAGACTATGGCTGAGAGGGGCTGGAACCAGGTCAGACTGCTTCAGGATCTGCAGTCAGACTGAGGTGGGCAGGCTTGACCATAGAACATGGATGGGCGTTGTCTCCCTCTGGGTCCCTGGGTAGGCAGGACTGCTTCCAGACTGTAGCTGTGAGGGGCTGAAACTGGATTATGGGGCTGCTCCCAGATGTAAGACAGATCATGGTCAATGGGCCTACTTCTGGGGCACGGACAAGTGCGTCTCCCAAGACGATTGTTCCCAGACTATGGCTTAGAGAGGATCCGCAGTTGGTCCAAACTGGAGGGGCTGCCTCAGGTGCACAGACAGGTGTGTCTTCTCCAAGGTGCTAGGTGGGCAGGAATCATGGCTGAGAAGGGTTGAAGCCGGGCCATGACCACTTCAGGGTCCGCAGATGGACTAAATTCCATGCGCTTGTTAGACAGGGCATGGATGGCAATGAGTCCTGCTAGCTCCTTCTCATAAAGTGCTGGTGGCAGCACTCAAGCCCAATGGGGCTATAATTGAGTCCACAGAAGGGACAGGGCTATTTCTTGATCTATAGCCAGGACCTTGGTTGGCACGTCCACCACAGGGGCACAAGCCTGCCTTTTCAAAATGGCCCTCCTCAGTCTTGGATTCCACCGGGGTTTCATAATTTCCCACCTGGATCCCACAGTTCCCACAAAGGCACTTTTGCTGTGGATGGCTTTCAAGTTACTGTTGCTGAATGGGGATACAGGTGTTGGATCTCCTATATTGCCATCTTGCTGATGTCACTCCTATCTTATCGTTTTTAATCTTTTTATTTTAAAATATAAAGTCACTTAAGTTTCAGGTTAAATTTCATATCCTATTATAAACATGGCTTTCTTATTTTACATAGGAGTTTACAAACACATTATAAAAGGACAGGATACATAGTGCAAAGAACACAGGCTTTGGATAGAAGCTGAATTCACACACTTGTTCTGCCACTACTAATTTAGCCTTGAAAATGTGATTTACCTCGTCTGTAAAATGGTGCTAGCTGTTTTGAAGATTAAAGGACTGTAGTTTATGTTTATGTAGGACTTACTATACGATAGACATTGTTCTAGGTGATTTACATATATTAATATATTATATTACATTTAGCTTTTTGAGGAACCTCCATACTGTTTTCCACAGTGACTGCAACAGTTTGCATTCCCACCAATAGTGCATGAGGGTTCCTTTTTCTCCACATCCTCGCCAATACTTGTTGTTTCTTGCATTTAGATTTTAAGCATTCTGACAGGTATGAGGGATACTGATTGTAGTTTTGATTTGCATTTCCCTGATGATGAGTGAGGGTGAGTATCTTTTCATGGGTCTGTTGACCAACTGAATGTCTTCTTTGGAGAAATATCTGTTCATGTCTTCTGCCCATTTTTCAATTGGATTATTTATTTTTGGGATACTGACTATTATTAATTCTTTATGTATTTTGGATACTAACCCTTTATTGGATATGTCATTATTGTTTTTGGTGCAACTGTAAATTAGATTGTTTTCTTAATTTCTCTTTCTGCTGCTTCATTATTAGTATATAGAAATGCAACATATTTCTCTATGTTGATTTTGTATCTTGCAACTTGACTGATTGCATTTATCAGTTCTAGTAGTTTTTCGGTGGAGGCTTTAGGGTTTTCTATATAGAGTATCACGTCATCTGCAAATAGTGAGAGTTTTACTTCTTTACCAATTTGTATGCCTTTTATTTCTTTATGTTGTCTGATTGCTGTGGCTAGGACTTCTAGTACTATATTGAATAAAAGTAGTGACAGTAGATATTCTTGTGTTCTTCCTGACCTTAGCGTAAAAGCTCTCAGTTTTTCACCATCGAGTATGATGGATTATTTCCATTTTAAAGAAGGGAAACTGACACAAGAAAGTTCAGTAACTTGCCCAAGGTCAATCAGCTCATAAAAATACAGGTAGAATATGAAAACATGCATTCTGCTTCAAAGTTCCTACTATTTTTTACTTAATTAATAAATTTAATTTTTTGAACAGTTTTAGGTTTACAAAAAAATGATGTAAAGTACAAAGTTCCTACATATCCCCTCCTGTTTCAGGTATTACAAGCATTTTGCATTATTGTAATACATTACTTGCAATTGATAAGCCAATAACGATACGCCATTACTAACTAAATTCCATCGCTTACATTTTAGCTAACTTTTTCTGTTGTACATTCTATGTCTTTGGCAAATATGTAATTCCATGTATCTGCCATTACTCTATCATGCAGAATAGTTTCACTGCCCTAAAAATCTTCTGTGTCCCATTCATTCATCCCTTCCACCCAACCTCTAAAGAACTGGCTATCACTGATCTTTTACCTCTTCCAGAATGTCATATAGTTGGAATCATACAGCATGTGATCTTTTTAGATTGACTTCTTTTACTTAGCAATATACATTTAAACTTCCTTCATGTTTTTTGTGGCTTGGTAGGCCATTTTTTAAAAAGATTTATTTATTTATCTGAGAGAGAGAGAGAGAGGTGAGGGGCAGAGGGAGAGGGAGAGAGAATCTCAAGCAGACTCTGTGCTGAGCGTTAGAGCCCAAAGCGGGGCTTGATCCCATGACCGTGAGACCTGAGCTGAAATCAAGAGTTGGACACTTAACCAACTGCACCACTCAGGCACCACAGGCCCATTTGTTTTTATCACTGAAAATGTTCCATTGTATGGATTTACTACCGTTTATCCATTCACCTATTACAGGACATCATAATTACCTCCATATTTTGGCACCTATGAATAAAGCTGTTATAAACATTCATGAGCAGATTTTTGGATGGACATAAATTTTCAACTCATTCGGGTAAATATGAAGATGTATTATTACTATATCATGTTATGAGTATGTTTAGTCTTGTCAGATACTGCCAAACTGTCTTTCAAAATGGCTGTGGCATTCTATAATTTTGCATTCCCACCATCAATGAATGGAAGTTCCTATTGTTCCACATCTTTGTCAGCACTTGGTGATGTCAGGACTTTTAAATTTAGCCATCCTAATTAGCAGGTAGTGGTATCTTGTTTTAATTAGCAGTTCCCTAGAGACATGATGTTGAACATCTTTCTATACACTTATTTGCTATCAGAATGTTTTCTTTGGTGAGGTGCCTCTTTAGATCTTTTGCCAATTTTTATATATATATATGTGTGTGTGTGTATATATGTATATATGGGTGTGTGTATATATATATATGAGACAGATAAGGACACTATACATTGATAAAGCTCAATTCACTAAAACAAAAACAAAAACTCTTAAGCTCATAGATACAGAGAATAGACTGGTAGTTGCCAGAGGTGGAGGGTGTAATGTACAGCATGGCAATTACAGTTGATAATACTGTATTACATATTTAAAAGTTGCTAAGAGAGTAGATCTTAAGTTTTCATCACAAGAAAAAAGAATTTTGTAACTATGTATAGTGACAGATGTTAACTAGACTTACATGATGATTACTTTGCAATATATACAAATATCAAATACAAAATTCAATTCAGCAAGATTATATAAAAATTATAGATATATACACACCTAAAAACAGAGGCCAATAATATTTGAAACAAAAACTGACAGAACTGGAAGGAGAAATAAACAAGTCTACAATAAGAGTTGGAACCTTCAATACCTCATTTTCATTAATGGACAGAACAACTAGACAGAAGACCAATAAAGAAATAGAGAATGTGAACACCACTTTAAAACCACTAGACCTAATTGGATTATACAGAACATTCCACCCAACAATAGCAGAATACACATTCTTCTTAAATCAACATGGAACACAGTCCAGGACAGATCACATGTGAGGCCACAAAGCATATCTTAATAAATTTAAAAAGATTTAAATTATACAAAGCATCTTTTCTCATCATAATAGAATGAAAGCACAAATCAATAATGGGAAAAAGGGTGGAAATTCACAAATTTGGAGACTAAACAACAAACACTTAGCCAATATTTCAAAGAAGAAATCACAATGGAAATGAGAAAATATCAGATGTTTGAAAGGGAAAACACAGTATACAAAACTGGTATGATGCAGTGAGTATAGCACTAAGAGGGCAATTCATAGTAGCAAAAACATACATTAAAAAGAATAATCTAAAATCAACAACCTGTGGCACCTGTTGGCTCAGTAGGTTAAGTGTCTGACTCTTGATTTCAGTTCGGGTCTTGATCTCAGGGTTGTGAGTTCAAGCCCCACAAAAAACTTTAAATAAATAAATAATAAAACCAACAACCTAACTGCACATTGATATGGAACTAGAAAAAGAAGAGCAAACTAAACCCAAAACGAGCAGAAGGAAGGAAACAATAAAGATCAAAGTGTAGGTAAATAAAACAGAGAAGAGGAAAACAATAGAGAAAATAAAAATATTTGTTCTTTGAAAAGGTCAACATAATTGACAGACCTTTAAAGTAATTAAGAAAAAAGGAATGAAGAGTCAAATTAATAAAATCAGAAATAAAGTGGGGATATTACATTGTTTTCACCAGAATAAAAAGCATTATAAAAGAATACT